TTGTATACCCAACACTCACGTGCAGTGGTTGACACAAAGTACATATTCAATATGTGTCTGAAGAATTACTTGGATGGCTAAATGTGTAGGTCGAAAAAAGAAGGGATAAACTAGAGGATGAAGAATAGATGAGAATTTGGCATTTCGAGAGATGTGGTTGCACTTTCCTTCAAGAGTGCCGTTGAGCGGTACAGTCACATTTTGTTTCTATTGAAACTGAGCCCCTGTTGCAATGGTGAATGAAGTAGCATGCAACTGATGACATGGGGTTTCAGAAATATTCAGATGATTATGTAAACTGTGTGAAAGTCACTTCAAGCACTTTTCATGGCCTTGTTTGGTTTTGATGTTGTAAGGAATTAGGTAGCACAAATATTGATTAATGGAAGGATCACAGTTCAGAAAAGTCTTCCCTCTGTTCTTTCTCTCCATTAAAAACACAAAAGGAGGATGGCGTAGGGAAGGAGAAATAGGACTGTATATTAGAAGTGTAGTGGGTTAAGAAGAAAAGACTGGGAACAGAGGCAGGAAAAAGCAGCCAGAAAACGCCCTATAAAAATGCCAGTAAAACAGCTCTCCTGCCCTTATTTGCTTTTCATAGACTGTAATAGAACAAGATGTGAGGAAACATCTGTTGCTTTTTGAAAATAGTACTTTGATATTTTAAAAAATAGTGACAGAATTAGGAGAAGTCTAATTTCTGTGGTTAGGGACAACAGACGCCTATGGGGTGGACTAGGGAGAATTAGTCTAATACAGCCTGATGGGTTTTTAGGCTGAGGATTCATCTGCTGGGCATGGCTCTGGGAAGCAGCAGGGAGCAATGGTCAGAACAGGGACTCTCTAGTTAGACCACCTGAGTTTAAATCTTGGCTTCACCAGGTATTTACAGAATAATATTGGCAACCTACGTGCATCCTCTATATCCTCTGTGGGCATACTGTACTATTACCTGTCTCGGGTGGTTGTGAGATTAAATGAGAGAAACGAAACTCAGTTCAGAGACTGGCACATGATCTCATTCGCTAAATGTAGGCTCCTGTTTTTAAAATTAACTGACAATGAACAATTACTCTTAGACTAGGTACAGGAACTTAATAGGATGTCCAGGAGGAATACAATGACACTTAAACAGGAAAAGATGGACAATTCCTTCTACTGAAAAGGTCAATCAGTGTAAGGCAGGTCAGCCTGAGGAAGAGCTGAGATGTGGTTGACTTTTGAGACCATTTTAAAGCTAGCAAGACTAGCCCAGATAAAGGATTAGAAAGCTAATTAGAGCAGCTGAGTCACACCGAAGGGGCTAACCAGTTACTGTAGCTGTACAGTACATGTGCTTCAAAAAAAAAAAAAAAAAAAAAAAGGTGAGGTGGGCGTGGGCAAGAGAAATCAGCAGACATCAGATTCCAGGCTCTGCTACCATGAGGGTGATTCCAAACCAGGAAGACAGCCCAGAGTACAGGGAAGGGCTGAGTACTGGGCAGAAACATACCTGAGGCCAAAAGCTCTAGTCAGATGATGAGCTTTGGATCTGTCCTAATCCTACTTTGGCAGCTACTGCAGGGGCAAGTTCCATTACTTCTCCAAGCTTCAATTTTCTTAAGAATTTTTGAAAATTAAATCTCATGATTGAAAGGACTCAGGCAATGCCAGTCACCCAGTAAGTGCTCAATTAATGTTGGATATTATTTGAACTTCACTTATTCATTTACACATCTTGTTTGAAAATGCTATAGTTACAGTATAAATCACAAAGTAGAATGCAATTATGTCAAGTATTCCTAAACCCTGTATAAAAAATTTCTTGTCATGTAACTTTACTCTTTCCAATGTCTTTCCTTGAGGAAGTGAATTTTTAGCCAAAACATGTCAATTGCAAACCAGGGTACTTTTTGAAGAAGCATAAAGGAAACCAATTTTTAAATAAAAATAATTCTGATTGTGCTGATAATGATCTAAATCATGGAAGTGGGTCTAGGACAAAATGTATCCTTTGAGGATTCAACATTTTTAAAAAGTCACATTTTATATTAATAATTTTAGATTGGGCTTCGTTCAAGTCTAGTTGGCTGGATTCCCCACCTCCTCATTTTACCTCACCCAGAAATTCAAGATCTGCCTTAGCAGGTGGTTTGAATGAAATCGTTGGCTTTATATTTCAGAGCTATCTCATCTTCAACCAACGTATTAGGTTTATTCACAGGATTCCTGCATCATTCTGGGAAAACAAAGGGGTTCTGAAGAACAGACAGGCTCTCATATTTTTGCTGCAGAATTAGACACCATCTATCTGAAAATGGAATCTGTGGTAAAAATCTCCAAATTACTTGTAATCCTTCTCTTCAAATCAACTCAATTCTCCCAGAACTCACTCTTTGGGAACCATTTAATAATACAATAGACATATCTTGTCTCATTTTACTTCTACTAATTCTATTGCCCAAAACAAATCAGTAAAACTGTCCCTGACATAATATCATTTCACCCTTTCCTTACTAATAGCACACAATAGAATTAACTTTAGGAATGAATATTTCTCATTTTTGAAACCTGACAGACTTACAGGGGACAATGAATTGGCCAAAGAGGGTAGGATATTTTGCTTCTAAAGAAACCATGACTGATCTGCACATAATTGTCCCAACATTTTGCTATCTCATCTCTGTTCTTCATTATTTACATTTCTACCTGGGGTATAATGAGAGATGAAAAAGTAAAATTCAGTCAGATAACTGGCTGTGATATTGTCAAACTTGGTTATGGTAGAAGTCCTAATGGTATGGAAATCATTGGATAAAATAAGCCTTCAAGATAGTCTTTGGGTTTCAATAATCTAGTGGTTCTCAAACTTTGGCATGTATCAGAATCCCCTGGATGATTAGTTAAAACAAAGATGGCAAGTTTTTGATTTAGTTTTGGGTTGGGCCTGAGAAATTGGATTTCTAACAGGTTCCCAGGTGATGCTGATGCTGTTGGCTTGAGAACTATACTTTGAGAACCACAGCATTAATCCATGCTTGACTTCTCTCCTGTTAACATGAATTATCTAGAATTTTGCTTTTCTTTATCTAGCTTTAGAAATTTTGGCTGTATAAACAATATGGCTTAAGCAGTTATTTTGGTATACATGCACCTCGTACAGTATAATAGAGTGGTAAATTCATGTAAATGGGTTTATTCTATCCATTTGGTTAATTCACAGAGCAGTCAAGTATATGTCCCCTGGATCATGGCTTTAATCCAAATATATCTTTGCTTCTCTATATTCTTATAGGGTCAATGTAATACCTTTATTATATTTTTTCCCCAACGGTAAAGCCTTAATTCTATGGTATTGAGAGGGATTTATACACAGAAAGCATCTTCCATTGTTTCCCCTAATGCCCACACTATGGAGCTTTTTTAGTGATGCCAAGAATTAAGCTCCTTTGAGTGTCTTTTATTTTTTTTCTTAACTCAGCAAAACATTTATTTAGATTTAATAAAGGATATGGAACAAAGAACAGCCAGAGCAACAGTATCACAGAGGCGTTTGATAAAACATCTGATAATCACTGCATGGAACACGTTTTGGTCATAGAAATAATACAAAGCTAAAGTGAATGCCAAGCATATCACATAGGGAGCCCCATAGGATTTTAAAATCTCTCGGCTTAAACATTTTGCTAATCATCTAGTCCTCAGAAGGTTGTATACCTCATCCCCATTCTTTAATGAGGATGAATTATACATGCATGGATTACAGGTTATGCGATAAACAATCTCAACAATTAGGAACAGCATACTTAGGAACACACCCTTGCTTCCTTCATTCAACTGTAATGGATACATTTTCTTAGGTTGATATTATAATATAAGAAGGTTGATGAAAGTATCCCCTAGGCTGGAGTAAGATTTGCAGTCCAGCTGTTAATTCTTTCCTTTCACTAGGTCACATGTAGAATCCTGGCTGAGAGGGAGTCTGGGAAATGCAGTTTTGAGCTATTTCAGCATCTATGGTCCAGGCAGTGAAGCAAGAAGAAAGTTGAAGAGATATTGGATTATTTAGTATACAGTATGTACCTCACTAACTAGTTAAAAGCAGAAAAGAGGTAACCAAAACAATTGTTGTCCTATTCTCAAGTTGCGACTTGTCATAACATTTTTTAAAGCTATCCTATCCAACAGGGTAGCGGTACAGATCAGTAATGTTGTCTTTCAGGACTTCATCACTTAAGCTGTGTAAACTTGTACAAGTTACTGGACATCTGCATGCATCATTAAAAAATGGCAATGAAAATAATACCTACTTCATAGAGTTGTTGTGAGAGTTAAGTGTTTGGCACATAGTAGGTACTCACGTGGATATAGGAGTCTCACTAAATGCTTTCTATAAGATCCTGACACAGTTATTGATATTTTTTAAAGGAAGAATATTCAAGGACTGGGGATAATTAAATGAACACTCCAAGCTCAATAAACACCTAAGTAAAAGCAAGGTCACCCATGAGTCAGTCGTTCCTTTGTTTAGCTGTTTGCATATTTACCAATCCTAAATTCAGAATGTAGAAATAGTCTATAAATGGAAAAATACTTCCATTGGTAGAACCATAAAATTGAGATGTAACCCCTTATAACTTTTTATTCTTAAGTGCTTTCCCGACATTTGAGTAATTGTCACCCTTACTAACTATTTAATAGCCTAATGTAGTAACATGAGATGTTTCACTTTGGAAAACTTTTGCTACCTTGGAATTATTACATGCTAAAAAGAGAGCTTTGTCTGTAGCCATGTTGAAATTCTAGAAAGCTATGCATCATTGAGCAATACCCTTTTTCTTTTTCTTTTGAAATTAAGGATAATAGAAGACAGGTGACTGATTTGTGGCCTGTTCACCTTATCTTGTGATTATTTGCTCCTTTTTGGCAATATTGTTTATTTGCACAAGCAAAACATTGTTTTAACTGTGAATTTGGGGCCTTGATTAACCCAGGTGTCTCTTCTTCTTCTCCCACTCTAGCTGGACAGTGCCACATCACTTATCCAGGCAGCTAAAAACCTGATGAATGCTGTTGTCCTCACGGTGAAAGCATCCTATGTGGCCTCAACCAAATACCAGAAGGTCTACGGGACAGCAGCTGTCAACTCACCTGTTGTGTCTTGGAAGATGAAAGCTCCAGAGAAGAAGCCTCTTGTGAAGAGAGAAAAGCCTGAAGAATTCCAGACACGAGTTAGACGAGGTTCTCAGAAGAAACACATTTCGCCTGTACAGGCTTTAAGTGAATTCAAAGCAATGGATTCCTTCTAGGACGATAGGCTTTAACAAGAAAGCTTTTTCTGTTTTTTTTTTTTTTTCTTTCTTTTTTCCTTTTAATTCCATTTTTGTATGCATACCTGCTGACTTGTGTGCCTCTGGCATGGGGAAATCAAGGGAACAGTGTCTGTCTGCATGTAAGATGAGATGTGATCAATACTACTGATCCATCTGTAGCCTGGGAAGGGGACAGGGGATTCCTGTCCTGAGGTGGCACAGAGCTGTCCTTGGCAACATTCTCATTAAATTGGGCAAAGAGTTCGCATTGGCGCAATGTTCATGGGAGTGGGAGGGATGGGGAAAATAAACTTAACTCTACAAAAGCAAACTCTAATGCATGCAAGAATCATTAGGTTGGCAGGTATAGTCATAAGTGAAAAATCTGGAAATGTAATGGTAGAACATAAAACTTGTATTGCTTCTGTTTCAGTGCAAAAACGTACTATCCAATACGCTTAAATGTGTGGCCCAGAAATTGAACAATTTAACTTTGAAGTCATATCCATGATATTATATGAATTTTTAACTGGGTGGGGGGTGAAACTAACTTAACTAGGTCCAGCCTAAAATGCTTCCTTTAATCTGCATTCTGTTTTCTAGTTGTACCATTACTAGTGATCATGTTATTTTTTTCCCCTTTACTGAAAACAACAAACATCTATTTGAGACAATTAAAGTCTTTCTGGGGGCACTGGAAGCACAATATGATGATCGATTTTGCTTTTGCCTTTTTTTTTTAAATTAAAATTTGAACTATGATTTTGCTAGAAATAGAAGGCCCAGTGGTGGAATTTTAGAGGAATGGAAATTGACAATGTGTGAAGGTTTAGAGGCAAATACATAGGTGTAGCTTGGAGTGCTGGTATCTAATATACCATTGTATCCACTAACTCAAAATAAACACATTTAATCTTGACATTGCAAGAATGTTTTCATTTTTAAATAAAAGATTAGAGCATCTTGAAAATTGATTAAATGCTTTTTATTTTGGTTTGTTTTTAGAATTGGGGGTAAAATAGGTGATATCCAATTCCCTTGGTCATTTTTAGAGTCTAGAAATTTCTTTTATTTTGTGGTTTGTTTTACCACTTGTTTTCATTCATTTTCAAACTGAATTTAAAATGAGAAAATCTTGTATTAGACTTTTCTGGGCCATGCTTTGCTGTGGACTAAATTTAAGAAACTTAATGTGTTCTCAGAGAGAAACTTAATTGAAAAAAAATTTTTTTATAGATAAGCCCATTAATTTCAAAATATTTCATTTAATTTTTTTCCTCTAAATTGGAAAAACAGAACCTCTGTCCCAATATGAAGGAGAAGTGGCTATAGTCTTTTAGCTATGTGCTGAAGAGGGGGATAAAGACCACAAATATTCTCTTCTCATTAGAATGATTTCTACAAGTTCACGTTACTGTATGTCTCCCGCAGACTTCAGGTAAAATATGTGTGTGTTTCTTAGCAATGCGATAACGCATTGAGAGTCGTGAATGCCTCAGCTTATGTTAGCTTAGATGCAAGATCCCAAAGAGAAAGGACAGTGGGGAAGTTGTGCAAGGAGAGAGGGCATAGTCCAAAATTTTATTTAGAAATAGTCCTGCTCAAACCACTGTTTACCACCACTGAAAAAATATTACCAAGACTGAGAATGTTCTACTAATGGAGGAGCCACAAAAAAAAGCTGTGGATTGATTTTCCACACAAATCATTAGATCACAGATAACTAGTCTGTCCCCTTAATTTGCATAAACATTCAAAAGAACACTTCTGACACTCATTTATTCACAAATATTTAAGGAATGCCTTATTTGAGCCAAGTTGTAGGCTGAGCACGACACACAGTAAACTTATGGGCCATCTTCCCTGTTTGCACATTAGAATGGCGTAATAGCAACCAGCGTGCCATTTTTGCCTACTGACCTGAAAAACAAAGATAGTATATTCTTAGCACCCTATTTTCAATTCTGAAAAATCTGAACTTCTCCCAAACAGTAAAAATACCCTTTAGAGAAGTTTTTCCTCAAAAGAACCATTCTATTTTTCTACGTCCTGATAGACACTTTAGAAACTGGACAGATCTTCTCTTCCCCTCTCCTTCTCCACAGGATCCTAGGAAGTAGAGATGGTTAACAGTATAAAGGCAGAAAAGAAAAGTGCACCAACCTAGTGATGATGATCCTGTAGAAAGAGTCACCACAGTGCTATTCATAAGTCCCCAAAGGAAACAATTAGCACAATGAACTCTCTGGGTTCATACATTTCTATTGTTTAATGGGTCAAAGGAAGTAAGTATTCGTTAGATCAGCCAAGAAATTATTAAAATTCAAAAGCTGCTTATCAAGTCCTGAAAAATAGCCAGCAGGCATCAGAGGAGTATGACCTATAAAATTTTAGTTAAATGTTTTAACTAAATAATACATGCTTATGAAAAATGTGTGTGTGTGTGTGTGTGTTTCTGGAAATTGGTCCTGGATTTGCTTAGTCCTTAATTTTAGTGCTTGTTGAGTAAACTTCATCAATAGCCTTTCCATCATTGATTTTGTGATCAAGGAGAACAATAACTGCTCAGAAAGATAAAAATATGCACACTTTGTTGAGAGCACTGCAGCAATAAAAAAGTTGGTGAGTTTCTTGTCCTCAAGAAATATACAGTCTAGTTGGGAACATATTACATAGAAAAAAGTAAATATTTCAAAAAAAGTCATACTCAAAGTGACAAATGAATAGAGAAATAACTACTGTGTGGGACTAGAGAAGTCAGAAGCCATTGGAGACTGAGGTAGTTGGATAAGGATTATTTAAAAAAGTAGGATTTGGAAGTGAGTAAAAAATAAATGTGAATGAATGAAATGTATAAATGAATAAATTTGGTACATGGCATGACTGAGATGGGCATCCAGGCAAAAAGAATAGCATACTTTAAGATCCAAAAACTAGCATGGTCACAGGGAACATGGGATTCTTGAAGGGGAAATGGGAAATAAATGTGGACATGCAGTATGAGGCTGTAAATATGGAGCTCATAAAGGAGAGTGACACTCAATAGATAATGTGGAGTTTTTAAGTGGGATAGTGACCCAGACAAAGAAATGCCTTCATAAGATGAAACTGATAATGTATGAGGAGGTGAGGGCTTAAAGGGGCTGGTGTTAGTTAGAAGGGGCATATGCGATAGAGATGTTAAAAGGACTTACAATGACTTCAATAACTAGATATGAAGCAAGACTGATTAAAGAGAAAATAATATCTAAAGAGCAATATATGAAGATGGGCTAGCATCATATATTTGAGAGACACAGAGTAGGTAACACTAATTCCAAGCAAGTGGAGTTACTTTGGGTATTTCCTAAAGAAGTAGCATTACTGGCTACAGGAGAATGGATATTACTGATGGGAGAAAACTAAATCTCAATTTCCTTTGCCCCACTGTTCTAAGATTGATGTTTCAAAAGACAAAATGTTATATTCTTCCAAGGACCCAAAGTATCCAGGAAAACATAAATTATCTACAGAAGATTTGTAGTTTTTTTTTTGTTGTTGTTGTTTTTTCCATTAAGTGAAGAATATAAACTCAATTTTACTTTTAGAAGTCAACTCTGTAATCAATTGGTCATGGTTTAGCCCATGGTGAAACAGATTATTCAAGTGGCATGATGGTCATTAATTTTGAGCATCAGTTATGTACAGGGCACTTTTTAGAGTCCTGAGGTATAAAGATGTATAAAATAATGTATACAGCAGAATTCCTAAGCAAAACAACAATTCAAAAATATCATTTGACTTGACAAATTATAATCCTTGAATTTCTGGTAATAGGTCATAAGTCATTTTATTTTTATTGCTGTGTCTGCATATATTAACCCAATCAAAGAGGTCAGGGGTTACTCTTCACTTTGGAGATTGTGGCATCTTTTAGAGGTAATGAGAGGGAGTGAATTATAGCAACTATAGAAGGCTGTTAATTAAAAAATACTGGAGCAGAAGAGTGACATCAGAGAGATGGTGGACTAGGAAGCTCCAGATGTTTATTCCCTCATAGAAACACAAAGTAAACAACCACAGTGGACCATGGTAGCTTTATGGGAACTTTAGAAACAGTTAAGTGTTTGCAGCAACCAAAAGAATCCCCAACCAAGAGAAAGCCACACTCAATACAGTAGGAAATGTTGGGGCATTTTTGCTCACCCACGCCCTGCCCCTTTCCTGGCACTGTTGGGACAGAAGCCACTTAATTCCTGATTCTTCCCTTACAATGGAAGAAAAAGAGTGGAACTTTTTGCAGGGTTCTTCCCTGTTCGGTGGCTGCCTGGGGGAAAAGTTTCTGTCTCACCTACCTCAGAGCAGATGGGAATCGTGGCATAGTTTGAATAGCAGGTTGGAGGCCACTGAAAGCAATGGTAAGCATCATAGCATGCAAAACTGTGGGGAACTCCAGGCCTATGGCCTCCTGGAGGCAAGAGATTATGGGCAGAAGAATACAATAGAACATATAAGGCCCTGAGAAGAATCAGAGGTAAGACCTTAAGGAAAATAAGACATTTAAAAGCAGCTATGTATATAGGAACTTCAGGAAAAAGGATATTCAGAGTCCCAGGGAACTCACACGCTTAGAAATGGCCTAAAGACATAAGCCTTCACACCAGGCTGATTAGTGAATGTTTTTGCTGAACAAGCCATTCCACAAAACTGGCAGAGGTGGTAGTTTTTTTAAATCAAATGCCCAATTATATGTTGTCTACAAGAGACTCACTTTAGGTCTAAGGAAATGCATTAGATTGAAAGTGAAAGAATGGAAAAGGTATTCCATACAAATAGTAATAACAAGAGAAGAGGGGTGTCTATACTATTATACAAAATGGACTTTCAGTCAAAACTGTTACAAGAGACAAAGACACCAAGCATGAAAATGTCAATGTACTAAGAAGATGTGATCATTATATAGATATATATACCTGTTCTCATTCATATGTAGAAACAAAAAAGTTGATCTCACAGAAGTAGAGGGCAGTATAGGGGTTATTAGAAGCTAGAAAGGGGAGGGGGAGAGAAGATAGGGAAGGATTGATTAAAGGATATAGAATTATTATAGCTAAATAAAAGGAATAAGTTCTAATGTTCTATAGCACTGTAAAGTGACTGTAGTCAACAATAATTTATTATATATTTTCAAAATGCTAGAAAGGAATATTTTGAATGTTTGCAACACAAATGATAAATGTTTGAGAAGATGGATAGAGGTAATAGATATGATAATTACCCTAATTTGATCATTAAACATTGTATGCATCAAGACTTACCATGTATCCCATAAATATGTACATTTATTATGTGTCAATTTAAAAAATATATATGCACCAAACATCAGAGGTCCTAAATATATGAAGCAAACATTGGCGGAACTAAAGGGAAAAATAGACAGATGTATAATAGTAGGAGACTTCAATATTGCACCTTTAATAATAGATAGAACAATTAGACCTACGATTAATAAGGAAATAGAGGACTTTAACAACACTATAGACACATTGGTTCTAATACACGTATACAGAAAAACTCACCCAACAATAGCAGAACACACTTTTCCAAAGTGCACATTTAACTTTCTCCAGGTTAGACCATATGTTAGGCCACAACATAAGAATAAATTTTAAAATGTTGAAATTATACACAATATTTTTTCTCATAACAATGGAATGAAACTAGAAATTAAAAGCAGATAGAACACTGGAAAATCAACACACATATGGAAATTAAACTCTACACTCTGAACTAATATGTTGAGAAAAAAATCCCACAAGGAAAACTAGAAAATATCTTGAGACAAATGAAAGCAAAACTTACCAAAAACCTATGAGATACAGTGAAAACAGTGCTAAAAGAGAAATTTATAGCTATAGATGCTTAACATTAAAAAGGAAGAAA